ACAACATTAGTTTTGTTAGTAACTGATCAAAAGTGTATAATATATTTATATATGATTTTATCTATATTTCAGGAGACTCTATCCCAGAGTATAACTCCAGCAGAGGATGATGATTGCAGGAGCATACTGAGTCGGGTGTTAAATATCCCTGAGTATTCTGAGCGTGTGAGGGGTAAGGGATTTGGCGTCACTCCATCACAGCTGTATAAGAAGTCAAAGAAAAAAAATCCTAGCAATAAAGAAGTGATGGATACGTTGGAGGAATTGAAAGCTCAGATTTGGGAATTACAGAAGGACAAAGAAAGATACATGTCGGAAAGACGCAGTCCAGATCAGGGTAAAGATACTAGTGACAAAGATAGTATCAATTGTCCGCAGAAGCTTTTAGAGGTAATTGTATATATTACATTGAAATTAATTTAGTACAACATTCTTAATTAACACATTAATCGACATCACTATTTGTTTAGGGCATTTCACCTTGTCGGCTATATTTATCGACACCGACTTATCGCATGGTTGGCAAGGGAAAGATGCATAACACTGTGGGAGACTTACTTCACCATAAACTTCTCCCTGCTGGACATTTGAAAGTATCAATTGATATTGCGTTAGAAGGGGGTGCGTTGTTGCCTATACCAGATGTTGTTTCTGACGCAACAGTGGTGGGAGATGCAATAGGAGCGTATGTTGCATGGCCGGCAAATCTCATTTTCATAGATGATGAGGTATGTTGAACACCATTATGAACCTTGTAATATTCAAATGTTTTACGACCCATAGATGAAAGTTATTCTTACATTTACATTTTCTTATTTACATGATGATCTTAGACTACTACAAAATCCAAATTAAAAGATATGAGAATCATTATGCGGGAAACCGATTCAGCTACATCAAAGAAACAAGTACTACTACAGTTACATGATTATCTTATTATACATTAATTACTGAACTTGTATTACATTTTAGGTTCATGATCAACAGTTGCAACAAGTCAGCAAGGGTAAGATGCCTGAATCTTCCAAGGTGCCCAACAAAAAAAAGGTCGAGCCAAAAAAAGCATCTGTTCCTCGATTTAGGTTGTGCCTTGAAGCATATGTAGGAACAACAGATGTGACTGAGGGTGGCATCCGTCAAATACCTATGGAGGAAGGTATTTTCGGTTTTGAATATACCGAAACAATTGCTAAGGAGGATTTGAACCAGGTTTTCCAACATTCTGAATTGGGCGTCGGTGTTGTGCATTCCTACATCAGGTACTCTGATCCATTTTAATTAAATAATTGAACATTTTAAAATTTGCTCATTTAACTGAATATTCTAATGTTGATTATGTTTTTCTTTTAGGCTCTTGTATGACAAGTTGTTGGTCCCGCATGATTTGACCTCCATATTCACATTCTTATCTGCTACCTGTATCAACTCATTGGCAATAGATCACACACCAGATGTAGTCAAAGATTACATAGTCCAAAGATTTATGGCCGCGACTACAGAGAAGTTGTTCTTGTTGCCATATAATATTGGCCATGGGTATGACTTCATTCTAAATTCATTTATTATAATTATTTGATTTTTGCCATTCTATATAACATTTCCGTCTAAACTGTTGTCTTATTTTATAGTGGACACTGGTTGTTGGTCGCGATTAATCCGATGAAAGAAATAGTGTATTATCTGGATTCAATGGATGGCGATCAAACAAAATATCCTGATATGAAGAATATGATTGATACGTAAGTGATGAGATATATTGTTCTGAATAATTATATATCTTTATTTATTATGTGACATTGTTCTAAATATGCGTTTATATTATGTTAGAGCTATACAAATATTCAGAGCACAAAGACAAGCAACAATGCCAAAAAGTAAGGCTAACAACATTAGCTGGATCAGATTGCAGGTATATTTTCCCATATTTGACTGTTATAGTGGTCCTACTTGATAAAACTATGTAAACTATATATCCTGATAAATGTTCGTTTGTTTTTTCCATTTACAGTGTCCTCGTCAGCGCAATGGGATTGATTGCGGATATTTTGCATTGCGATTTATGAAGGAAATTATTCATTCTGGTCAAATAGAGATTCCAATCATGGTATGGATCAATTCATAAATTATATGATTCATTTTGATAATTAACCGATGTTTCATCTGAGTAATTAGTTTTAAAATTAAATCGTGCATGTTCTGTTATATTATGTATTACTTTGATGATTTCAAGTGCGGTACTTACTCGAAAGCAGGATTGGAAGAAATAAAGGAGGAATGATGTCAATTTATTCTTGAGTTGAGAATTGTATAAGGTATATGTATCATCCAATATTGATGCGGGATAATAATATTTCTGGAAGTCGTATCTATTTGTAAAGTTAACGGATTTGTAATTATATGTAAATTGACTGTATTTGTGATGTTGTAATTCTGAGGATCGGATTGTGTTGTAATATATTTAAGCAGGTTTATGTGTATTAAAATGATTATGGGCAAAGTGATGTATACTTAAAGGCCAAAGTGTTGAAATAAATGCCTGAATTATAAGCAGGAAATGTAATATAAGCAGGTTTGTCAAAAAATATATATAAAGTGTGATTATTTTAAAAAAAAAATTTTAAATCTGGGAGATTAGACAACGCTTTTACAAAAAAGCGCTGCTAAAGGTTACAAAGAGAGCGCTACAAAAGCGCCGCTATAGGTTGGGAAGGGGGGGGGGGGGTCTAAGACAGCGCTTTATAAAAGCGCTGCTAAAAGGTGGGGCTAAGAAAACGCTTTAGAAAAGCGCTGCTAAAGGGGGGGAGGGTAGGGGGAAATAGGCAGCGTTGCTGAAGGGAGCCTTTAGCAGCGCTTTTTCCATAAAAAAAGCGCTGCCTTTACCTTTAGCAGCGCCACTTTTGACAGCGCTTTTAAGCGCTGCTAAAGGTCTTTTTTGGCATAGTGCCACTTTACTATACGAAATCATCAACACCTTATGCTCAACCTTAGTGTAATATCTTAAATCATCAAACATGTTAATGGATAACAAATTTTGCTTGAGTTCGAGAACATACCTCACGTTGTGATGAAGAAACTCACGATCATCAAACATGTTATTTCTGAATGTACCAATACCATAGAACTTGCAAGCCTTTTTTTAGCAAAGAAAACTACTCCACCTTAATCCAACTTCAAAGTCTCAAAATATTCTTTTCTTGGACACATACGATAAGAGAAAACTGAGTCTATAACCCAACCATCTTTAGTCTCAAAACTCGATACAACTAATACACCAACACTCTCATAACTATCCTTATATGAGGCAACTGAAATTTGAACATAATCTTCATTGTCCTCCCTCTCGAGACAATCCCTTATGAAGTGACCGGGTTTTTGACCAATAAAACATTTTAACATTGACTTGTAAAATCTCTTTGATTTAGACACCCCTCTACGATCATTTCCTTCTCCTGAGACACATAAATCTTCACGATTATCATCAATCTTCAAATCAATGAATTGAATCGATCAAATTCAATATCCAAAAACTGCTTTGAGTTGACCTTCCATTTGTCAGACCAATCTCCGCAGCTCTCTAATTTCTTACAATCTTAAAATTTATTTTCTTTCTTCTCATTTAAAGTTTTAAGACATTCTTAAACACTTTTATAATTCAAATTCAAAATATATTATTAGCATTGAACACTTTGAAATTTATCTAAAAAGTGTAACTTCATTATTAAAAGTTTGAATTAATTGGGAACATTTAACTCAAGGAACCTATCAATTGACCTATCCGTCAATCAACTAAATCAACTCTCAGATAATTCAATATCATATGAGACAACTAAATCAACAAACCGATAATTCAATATCATATGAGACATTTATCAATCTGATAGAGCAATGATCATTCTAACCCCACCTTATAGTACAAGTTGAGATATAGTTATAAAAAGGAACAGTATAGCAATACAGTCTGCCCCACCATTAGGATTTACGAGAGGGATCGTTAAGCACATATATGCAAGTTGCAAGAGATTATTGGAATCTTCTTTTCGGATTAATCCTTAATTTGCATCTCCATCATATAACTTTTTCATAACTTTACAAAATATAATAAAGTGATGCACCTCTTGTGTGCCCTTCTGCAAATGCCACAGAACAGTGAACCCCCCAAAATAGAAAAAGATGTAGCAGCTACTTGCATATTCATGTTGTATATGAGTACAGAAATTAAATTAATTTTCAACTTCAAAACATTCCAAACACAAAATGAATACAGTAATCAATTTAAACTATATATTGAATGTACTAAAAATATAAGTGGTTGATAATTGAAGTTTTAGATGAGTTGATGTGTGCCACTTAATTTCCACACTTCATTGTTTTTTGGCATCAATTTCATGTCTACCCACCGAATTATTAATAAATTCTTGCACCTAGACATAGCTAGCTAATGTATCTCTATAGCTTGACATAACTGCTATGGATGAAGTTCAATCTTTTGTTGTAAATTTTCTTCCTAATTAATGAAATTTTTTTACTATTTCAAGCTCATCTTAATCAGTATTAACAGAATAAATCTAGAGTGTAATCCGGTGGATAAACGCTGAAATAAAAATTTGAAATATTCTTTCACGCTACAACAGTCGCAATGAATATCAGAGTAATTGCAATTGCAACCACATCTGCAAACCTAATTTAAAACTATGCATTAAGCAACTTTGAATTTCCTATATAAAAACCTAATTATTCTAGTCATTATTGTGTTGTATATATAAGTTGCTGCATCATGGGAGAGTATCCAAATTATTCAAAAATTGAACAAAGTATCAACATTTAAGATACAGTAAACCTCATCATTATTCATCAGATTCAGTCACATAAAATGCAGTTATTGGAAGCAATTAATAAAATGACATATATTGACATTTTAAATAGATATGTTTTAAGAGAATATACTATATATAAGCTATCTTGACCTTACCAAATAATATATATATTACACTGCAACAGAATTAGTAGCTATCAAGTTGAAAAGTTTCATAAAATGCAGTTGTTGGAAGCAGATCCCAAACATTCTCCACCAACTGAGGAGTCAAAAGTACATCTTCATCAAAACCCTCATACGAGCATCCTCCACCAGGTTTCACCACTTGTTCATCAGAACCCACAAGAGGAGGCACTGTCACAACTGTGTGATCATTTTCATCACAAACCATTCTAATATTCTCACACTCAGGGTCAGCAACGCTGATATCGCCGACAAACTCTTGAAATTTGGAAGGATCTGGCGGCGATTCAGCGTACTGACCAGTAAGTTCTTGGACCAGTGCCATAAATTCAGAGGCACTGGTGTTAACCTTCATAGGGTTGGAAATATAAACTACCTTGATGGGTTTGTTGTTTTTCTTTTTGGATTTGAATATTTTAGTTGGTGTTTTTTGCTGTAGAGAACTAATGACTGAATTCGTGCTGCCAGTGCTAATGGTGTCCATGGTTGTTTGCAGGAAAAATAGTAGTAGAAATGGATTTGGTTTTGTTGAAGATAACAAGTGAAGATGAAAATGAAAGAGGAAAATAATTGTGATGAAAGCAAATTAATGGAAAGTTAAATGGAGAGCGAGGGCTTTGGACTAATGCAACTCACAGCCGACACTACCCGCGCGTGCTGTGCGCTTTTTTTCCTCATAATAGTTTTATTTATTCTTTCATAATTCATTTTGTGTAAGAAGCTATCTATCTAGATTTTGTTTTAATTAACTGTTTTTTTTTTTAATTATTGAACAATCACTATTTTTTAAATATTAAACTAACAATCTTTCAAAAAAAAAAAAAATACCAATACACCACTCACTCACTGTGAGTGCATGCACTCATTTTTTAATTTAAGGCGCCAACATTTTGTGGCGCATGGTCATGGGTGTAGCCAATGATTGTGGTATATGCATATAATTTTTAAGAGTACGCGTCATTGATTGTAGCGCATGCATATAATCAAAACATCGTAGTAGTTACAGACAATGACACATATTTTTAAAAATTGCATGCATGCGCCTCAACCATTTGCTACACACATAACTATGCGTCATGTGCATTGACGCATTAGGTCAAGAATTAAGTATATGTGAAAAACACATTGGAACATTTTTTAGAAAGCAAATTTTTATTTGAAAATTTGTTAATCTAGTATTTTTTTTTTTGAAAAAAATAGTTATTAAAGGATTTTGTTTGAATAACGTGATTATATCAGAAAAAATGTTATCTCTCTATTACTAAGCAACTAAAAATATTAACATCTTGAATTGAATAAAATAAATAAATAAATAAATAAATAATTGTTATATATTTTATTATCATATTCATGTTATTTTATTTTTAAAAAAATTGTTGATTTAAAAATATTAATAATTTATTTAGGTTAATACATAAACATATTAATATATAAATATAAATATATGTTATTGTTAGAAATTGTTAGAATCATAAACTAATAGTTTACACTTATTTAATTCAATTAAGCTATTTCATTCACTCTTCTTTATATGGCTAAATTATAATTTTGATCTTATTATAGTTCATTCACACAATTACTCTTCTAAGTTTGATTGTACCTATTGTAGTATATATACTATTGATCATTATCAATAAAATTCACTGATTGATTTCTTTCATACAGTAGTATTTCAATATATAAAGAAAAAAACCTAGAAATTCTCTAACCCTTATGTTGACCAGCCACCACCCTCTCTTTCCTATGCTCACCGCGTAGCTGTCCCTTCAACACAAAGCTTCCGTCGTGGTCTAACTCGTTCATGTATGGAATGGAGGAGACTGCTGAACACCTTTTCTTTTAAGGAGATGTGGCCTAACTCGTTCATACAGCTAATGTGACTGGAAAAATAACAATCCAAAGTCCAAACAGTTTTGATGTTTATCCACGCGCGGGTGGAAGAATGTAAAATAATACATTAGTGATGACGACGCGTGGCAGATAAATAAGGTGCCAGTTAGATATAATGACGCAAGCAATGGGACCCTATATGACGTCATCAAGCTTAAGTTTCCACTTGCTATTAATATAGGACGTTTATTTTTATGATTATTTTATTTATAAAAAAAAAATATTTTTTAATTCATTTAATAACTGGTGTCTTGTCTATATTTTATTTAGAGATATTATATATAAATGAGTTACACAAAATAAATTGTTAAAGAATAAATAAAACTACGAGACAAAAAAGCACACACCACACGCGCCTAGTGTCGGCTGTGAGTTGCATTAGGCCTATAGCCCTCGCTCTCCATTTAACTTTCCATTAATTTGCTTTCATCACTATTATTTTCCTCTTTCATTTTCGCGGACACAAGAAAGTTAAATACCCTTCCTTTTATGTTCCCTTGTTATCTTCAACAAAACTAAACCCAATAGGCCTAAGTTCTTGTCTGCAAAACAACCATGGACATCACTACCGCTAGCACCACAAATTCAGTGATTAGTTCTCTACAACAAAAGACACCAACGAAAATAACCAAATCCAAAAACAAAAACAACAAACCCATCAAGGTAGTTTATATTTCCAACCCTATGAAGGTTAACACCAGTGCCTCTGAATTTATGGCACTAGTCCAAGAACTCACTGGTCAGTACGCTGAATGGCCGCCGGATCCTTCCAAATTTCAAGAGTTCGTCGGCGATAACAGCGTTGCTGACTCTGAGAATATTAGAATGGGTTGTGATGAAAATGATCACACGGTTTTGGCTGTGCCTCCTCTTGTGGATTGTAATGAACAAGTGGTGAATTCTGGTGGAGGATGCTCATATGAGGGTTTTGATGAAGATGTATTTTTTACTCCTCAGATGGTGGAGAATATTTGGGATATGCTTCCAACAGCTGCGTTTTATGAACCGTTTCAATTTGATAGCTATTGATTCTGTTGCAGTCTAATTATATATATTATTTGGTAAGGTCAAGAATATATTATCTTAAAACTTATATATTTAATAAATTTTTAGAAGTGTCATTTTATTGCTTTATGTGACTGAACCTGATGAATGGTGCAGTTAACTGTACCTTAAATGTTCGTACTTTGTTCAATTTTTTAATGATTTGGATACTCTTCTATTATGCAGCAACTTATATATACAAGACAATAATACTACAATAATTAGGTTGTGGTATATAGGAATTTAAAGTTGCTTAATGCATAGTTTTAAACTGGAGTGGTAGTAGCAGGTTGCTATTGCGAATGCGCTGAAGTTCATTGCGACTATTGCCATGTGAAACAAGTTTTCAAATTTTTACTACAATATGTATCCACAGTTTTACACTCAATTTATTCCGTTAATATTGACTGAGATGAATTTGAAATACACTCCTGATAACTTTTAATTTTTAGTGAAAAATTATATGATCAAAATATATGTCGATGCTATTATATTTGGTGTTACTAACGTGTTATCATACAAGGATTTTTTTGATATAATGCTGAATGAGTTTGAAATGTCTAAGATAGGGAAGGTTCTGTACTTTCTTGAAATACAAATGCAATAATCAAAGAAAAACACATTCATAAATCGAGCTAAATATTATAAAGTGTTGTTAAAAATATTTAGTATGAAAAATGCAAAAACCTATCTCAACTCTCATTAACACTTCCTAAAATCTGAATAAGGATGAGGCTGACAAATTAGTTGTAGAAAGTAAATATCGAGGTATAATCGATTTCATTATTTATATTACTACATCTCATTCTGATATTGTGTTTGTTATATCTTTGTGTTTGTTGTCCTGATATTACTACACCTCATTAGCACACAAGTTATGAGTTTATGGTACCCAAAGGGACTGATAGTTTAGTTGGGTACACAAGAAGGGGGGAGTTGAATTGTATATTCCAAAAAACATTTTGCTTTTGAAAAGTTACTTCAGATTCTGAACAATGTTCATATCGGATATCAGAAATAACAATAGCAGGGAAAATAATAATGATCAGAAGCAACACACAAAGTTTATATTGGTTCATTTCTTCAACTGAGAGTAGTCTAGTCCCTTTGTCTCAATACGAGCTTTTCACTATAATCAAACAAATTACACTTTGCTCAAGCAAACTAGCAAGATAATTCATTGCTCAATGAATCTAGAAAGAGACTTCTGCTCAAGAAACCTAGCCAGAGACTTCTTCTCAAACAACCTAGAAAGAGGCTTCACTGCTCAAGCACACAAGCAAAAGACTTTACTGCTCAAGCACGCAGTCAAGAGACTTTCTCTATTTTAAACAAAAAGTTTAGTAGAAATGATAACCATTATACTTAGATACACAATCAGAAGTATAGTAGTTGTGCAACAACCACAAAGATTCTTAACCTCTTAAGATTTCTAATATAAACATAGATAAGAAATCTTAAGATCTTATGCAATAACAGTTATAAATAAAAGCTCAGAGTTATGCTTAAGATATTGTATTGTCTTGTTGTAACCTTCCTTCAAATCTTCATCTTCCTTTTATAGAGGCAGAGAAAGAGTTGTTTGAGGGTTGAGTATAAGAGCTAACTTAATGAAGAAGCATGTGAAGAGAGACATTAGAGGATGTATCTGGTTAGAAACATCGTCCACTGGATAAAGGCATTATTCATTGCACCTTTCAAAGTACTAGGTATCTACCAAAAGGTAGAACAAACTGAAGAGGTCACATCATCATTCCTTGATCCTGGAAAATGAAACCCTAGTTGACTCTCTTCAGAAATCTGACGCTTTGACAAGACTGATCTGCTTTTGGTATAAGATACGGATTAGAGACACTTTTAGCCTACAGAGTCTCAGCTGTCACCAGAGGATGGAACACATGACCAGAGTCTGAACCTTTAAAGGCTGGTGAACAATTCAGAGTCACCAGATTTCGATCATTCAGAATCTGAGTTACATTTCTTCTCCACATATGCTTTCAACAAATTAATGCAGAGTGAATTCTAAGCTTGTGATCTTGCACACTTGAAGATATATTAGTAGAACCAATTTGTTCTTTAAATACTTTATTATTATCAAAACTCAAGGGATATGAACAATCTTGTTCCAACAATCTCCCAATTTTTTATGATGACAAATAAATATATCTAAGAACAATGGTTGGTCAGTTTAACCAACTTGACAACATCAGAGTCTGAGATTTGTAAGCTCCTCCTGAGTCAAATAGTCTAAAGGTTGATTTTTGTAAGCTCCCCCTAAGTCCTATCCAAGTTAATTTAAACTTATTTTGATAAAATAATGTTCAAATGAAAGCAATATCAAAATAATTAAATAATTAGGGTTCAGGTAAGTTAAAAGAATTTTATAAATACTTTTAATCCTCTTAAATACTCCCATGAATTTCTCCCCTTTTGTCCTAAAAAACAAGATAATAAATAAATACTGATGACTGATATGCATGTGTACCACAGATTTCAAGATGGTCAAAGGTAGACTCTGACAACATGATTTTCAAGGAACAATAATCAAAGAGGCACAGGACTCAAAGAACACAGTCTTCAAGATAGAGGAGATTTCAAACAAACCCCTATAAGAGCAGATTCAGAAACAATACCAAATCACACAACTCTAGAGTTTCCCTGGGTAGATATTAGAATGGGCAAAAGAAAGACATTTAAAGCTGGCAAGAGAGATTTTGCAAAAGAGATACACAACTTGATGAGAAAGGATGTAAGAAAAGAGAAGAAGAAGGTTTGGGAATTAACAAAGGCTCAGAGATCCACAATAGTAAATGAAGAAGGCACATATGGTGGAGTTTTTGAAGAGGGAAAAATTCCAAATGTATATCTGAAAAATCTTATAAAGGAGGAGTGGGATAATAACTGGAAAACATTTATGGAGTCACAGAAGAAGACAACTGATCAAGTCTGAAAACAAATGTAATAGTTTTTAGGATCAGATCATGAAATGTCTTATGAATGAATAAAGTTTACCTTCCTTTTCCAATAGTCACAAAATTCCTTTGAAATCCTTCAATTATGATAATGCTTATTAATCAATCAGTAAGAGAAACAAGAAAGACAAAACAAAGAAAGAAAATAAAAAACTCTTTATTAAAAAAAACACATAAGATACATAGATAAAACATAAAACAAACAAAACATCTACGTAGAATAAAAAGAACCATCCACAGAGACCACGTTGACCTTAAGTGGGTCAACAACTTTTAAAGCTTCTGTAAGCTTCAACTTATCTCCCCAGACTTGTGAATTAACCTTAGTCATAGTTAACTTAACTCCTTGTTGAATGAAAAGTTCAGAGATAACCATTCTATAAGGAATGAAACATGACTTTCCCTCATTAGAGGATGTGAGAGTCATTTTCAAATAATCAAACATAACTTGAGGGAGGTTAATCTTCAATTCTGAGTTGAGAAGTAACATAAAAGCTTTTTCATCAATATCCAAAGAATTTAGATCCTTGTTCTTTGGAAGGAATCAGCAAGTGATACCAGAATAATGCCTTGGAATTGAGATTGGAAACTTTGGATAGGTCGGAGAGATCGTCAAAGATAAGATGAGAAGGCAAAGAAGATTCCCAAAAGAGCGTATCCAAAGCCACGCCTTCATCCTCACAGTTTATTGCATTAGCAATAGAAGTGGGGGTGATGGTGATATGAACTCCAGATACAACAGAAAGAATAACATATTATAGATTTAGTTCCTGGATGGAAGCATTCGCCCAGAATTCCTAGATCAGGCTAGGGTAAGTAGGAACATAAAGTTCCAACCATTCTCGGAGACAATACTTTGAAGATCAAAGCCACGATCTATCATCTCTTCAAAATCAACAAGTCCTTCAATGATGACTACTAACTGGTTTTCCATACCAAGATTAGATCTAGAGGCCATATTAGACAGAAAATAACTCAAGAAAGAGAAGAAACAAAATAAAATAACTGAAATATGCTTCCAAAGATATAAATAATGATTTGTCAGAAGGATGCAAGACGACTGTCTTTTCTTTAAGACCACTCAAGGATTATCTTTAGAAAGCAAAATAATAAAAACAAATAAACAAGTAGAAAAACATGAGGTGGTGGCAGAGGGATAGTTTCACAGAAATCAAGAAGTTTCACATCATTACCCAACACTTTTTAACCAAAAAGCTATTGTGCAAGATAGTTATCAGACATGTGGATGCTATATAATGTGAATAATCCACTTCTAGAGTCTCAGAGTCTGATATTTTTCAGAAGCCATTTTTCATCGAAGGTAGTTTCGTAGACTCTAATTGAAGCTACTTTTGAGCAGCATCAGACTTTGATACTCTAATCAAAAACAAACATTATTCTTCAATATAGACCATTTTTAGATTCTTTTTTATAAAATCAAATATTTAAATAACTAAGGGTTTTGTAAATATGTCAGCCCATTGATGATAAGTATCATTGATTTGAATATCTATAATCCCTTTTAAGCATAATATCTTATGAAGTGATGTTTAATATCAATATGTTTGGTTCTAGAGTGTTGAACTTGAATCTTTATTAGACAAATAGCAGCAATATTATCACAGAAGATAGGGATACTATTTCCACAAATCAGATAATCCTCTAGCTGATATTTCATCCAAAGTAGATGTGTGTAATGCTTAGCAACAGAGATGTATTTCGCTTCTATTGTAGAGAGCAATAATTACATGTATCTTGCTAGCCCAACATATTAGGTTTTCACCTATGAATTGACAGTTTCCACTAGTGAATTTTATCTCAATTCTATCCCTAACATGGTCAGCATCACAAAATCCAACCAACTTATAATCTAGGGATTTTTTTTATAAAAAAGTCCTAGATTAGTTGTTCCTTTCAGATACCTAAATATTCTCTTAATAACAGTTAAGTGAGTTTCTCTAGATATAATTAAAACCTTGCACACAGTCACACACTAAATAAAATATTAGGCCT